ACACATTCATGGCTCCTGATATTCTAGATTTCAGCAAAGGAAACTTTCTTCGCAAAGGTAGAGCAGTAATAATTCATACTCTGGGGCTTTTGGAATCTGTCAGGCTTCATCTGAAATCAGGGCTGCCACTTTCATCTGAAAGGTGCTTTCTAAAGTGGTATGGATATGTCCCAACAGCCTCTCTTTCTGCTGTCTCTCCATGATGTTGTGCTTGCCTCATCAGCAGCCTACATTTGAGGAAGCCATAAGCCTTTCTTAGTTATACCAATGTTGAAGTGGTGTTCTTCTTTTCAATTCTGTGGGTGTAGCTCAGTGGGCATGGCGTGGCTTTGCAGGTGTGACTTTGTGGGTGTGGCAGGGGAAGGATACTGCAAAATCCCCATTCCTTCCCCACCCCACTAACCTGCTTCCAGGTTAGTCTAACTCCTTAGCATTAGAGTGTTTTTCATGTGGGAAGGGCGAGTAGAATGTCTAAACACGCAGGCTGCAGGCCAGATGAGTCACGTGCTGGCCACGCCCATGCCCAAATGGCAGATGGAACAGAATTCTTTTCAGGTGAGGAGGGGGAGTAGAGTGTCTAACTCCTTAGCAGCAGACCGGGTTAATAATAATATAAGAAATACTAGTGATCTGATAGTCATTTCAAAAAATCCTTTCTTAGAAGAGCACCTAGAAGCCAGGAGGAACATACGTGCCAAATTTCAAGTTTGTAGGCTTTATAATTCTGGAGATTTTGTGATGATGCATGAGTGGTATTTCACTTTTATATATATAGATGGAGGAGAAAATAGAGATAAATTGTTTAGCGGTTCAAAATTGGGATGTGAATGAGTTGGAGTGGATGGATAGAATCAAATGGTTTTTTTAAAATTAATATTACCTAAAGAACCAAATACTCAAATGATATCACACGGAAAGCATTTTAAGGGTTGGAAAGAGAAGAAAGCTAAGCTAACCAGAGTTCATTCCTTAAATATTTGAAGAAGTATACAATAATTAAACTAGATTTCCTCAAAGTCCAAATAAGAAAACGCCAACGAATTAAACAATATAGCAGGATTTTGACAAAAATCCCCCCTTAACAAATTGGAATATGAAGCCACATTATTTATCACTCTCATTCATCCCTTGTCCTCTCCATGTTCAGTGACATTAGGGCAGCCCCTCAGTTGTGTTCTCATACTTTGATCTTTAGGCCCACCAGGCCCATAATGGAGGAAACTCACCAGGATCATCATGGAGGAAAGTCAAGCATTAACAATGTAGAAAGAGCTGTGGTGTCGCAGTGGTTACAATGCAGGACTGCAGGCTGCTTCTGTAGACTTACAGCTGCCTGCAATTTGGCAGATCAAATTTCACCAGACTCAAGGTGACTCAGCCTTCCGAGGTAGGTAAAATGAGGACACAGCTAATTGGGGGCAATATGCTGACTCTGTAAACCTCTTCCAGAGGACTGTAAAAGTACTATGAAGCAGTATATAAGTTGAAATGTTATTGTTATTGCTATCCCTGACACAGATGGCCAGCTGGATCATTGCATGACCGAGAATAACAACTGAACTCAGCGACTTTGAAGACTGTTGTCATGTTTATGCTAAACTCATTTATCTCCTATCAGTGTTTTGTAGTTCATGGATAGACCATGTAGAAGGCTGCTGGTAAAGTTATAATGGTGATTTCAATATTATCTTCCTTTTTTATGAAGAAATGAAACAGGCAAGATGTTTTTGTGTTGTGTAATGCAATATAAACAACCATCAAACACAGAAAGCTTTAGAAACGATAGGACATGTACCATATTTTCCAGAGTATAAGACACTCCGCAATATGAGACGCACGTAGCTTTTGGGAAGGAAAACAAGGGGGAAGACATCAGACAGTACAGACAATATACATTGTTTGTGGTGTTTCATTTCAGACTATACTTGTACAGATGCTGTTAATATTGATATGGCTTTCTGAAAGTATACGTTATTCTCTGCTATTTAAAAGAAGATACAATAGCACTGGGCCTCTTCAGATCAAGCGTTTATTTTAAAAAGCTTCTTCATTTTGTTATGTTGTCTAGAACAATAATAAAGCAGTCTTTAAAAAAATAAGTCTAATAAATTGAACATTCTATAGGCATTTATAGTTATTGACTTACCTCCTTGCAGCAAACAGCCTGTTTCAGTTTAGCCTAATTAGCACAAGAAAAAAAATCTGCCTGTGCCTCCCAGCAATTTGCCTCCTTGCAGCAAACAGCAACAACCCATTTCACTTTCAATTTCACCATGGGCCCTGATGATCAGCTGTTTCAGGCTGCAGGGATTGCCATAGCCTATTGCCATCTTCGCAAGCCCCATTTTCCCGGTTTGCTGCAAGGAGGTAAATTGCTGGGAGGCAGAGGCCAAAGGGTGAGGGCTGGTGGGTGGGCCGGACTACATTTGGTGTATAAGACGCACCCAAATTTTCACCCTCTTTTGTGGGGGGAACGTGCATCTTATTCTCCCAAAAATACAGTAAATAACTTATTCCAATAAGTTATTTAGGGAATTGCAGAAGTGACCACAGAGCCACTCTTGGTTGTTTCTGTGATCTCCCAGAGGACTGGTGATATCTCTGAAGAAAAATAAGTTAGTGTCTCTTCAAAAGGAAGGAGGAGGATGCAGGAAAATACAGTGCAGTCAGCTTGCTATCAAAAAGATTGATAAAATTAATTAATGAATGGTGGATTTATGAGTACTTAGCTTGTCATGCTAGAATTCAAAAAATGCTTCTCTTGTGAATGAGTTTGGCAAAACAAAGTTGATCTAATTTTTGATAGATAAGATTCTCATATTTTCCATAATATTTGGATCAGAACAGATTGACTCAACATTTTCCATCTTTTCTCCATTATTATAGATGAACAAATATTACGGTAAGTTCTGTACTGAAAATACGCAACTTCCTAGGAAGAGAACTAACTGAAAAGGAGGTGGATGATGTGGTGAATAAAGATACATTTGATTACATGAAAGTGGATTCTAGAGCAAACTACATGTTATTGCCTCCTGGGATTCTAGTTTTCAGCAAAGGAGGCTTTCTTCGCAAAGGTAGATCAGCAATAATTCATACTCTGGGGTTTTTGGAATGTGCCAGGCTTCATTTGAAACCAGGGCTGCCACCTTCATCTGAAAGGTGCTTTCTAAAATGGTATGGATCAGGGTGGGTTTCAACCGGTTCGCGGTGGTCCCCGCGAACCGGTTGGTGGGCGAACCTGGAAGTAAGTAACTTCCGGGAACGGCGAAGGGCCCACCCGCCCGCC